GTGACATCGTTTCCCGATTATCGGCGTCTGACTTAACTTTGGTCTGCTTTGGTAGTCTGCCGACAGGTCACGGCGCTGGTTGCCGGACGCATGCCGGTCGTGGCCGAGAGTTGACGGAAACGACCGAGCGACCTCGCTGGTGCTGTGCATCGAGGGTTGCATCGGAGTTCAAACAAGAATGCGAGAACCACCCCCGGCCGGGATAGTCTTCCGAAACTCTTGCGGCGCCCGTGAAATTCGATAAAAAATAAAACGCTGCCTGATCGTAATCTGATGGAAAAGAATTTATTTTTAACGTGCAGTCAACGTTTCAGGTGAAGAGATCGAGCAAGCGTATATTCTTGAATTTACAGATAGAATAATATAAATACTTGAGAAATATACTATTTGTTTTGATTAATAAGAATATAAATACTGATTCCATTCTTGTTGGAACAGTGTTATATATGCTTGAATAGTGTAGTAACAGTGTAATAACATATCATTCTTTTAGCAGAATATCTTTTAATTGCTTAAAAAATATTGGAGGAAATCTGATTCTGCTCTTTAAAATTATAAATATAAAATTATAAATATTATAAAATTATAAATATTTAAATCAGATTGCATTGGCTAGCAAAAATGAAGTTTTGGAGAACAGGAAAAAATTTAACAATATACAAATTTGAAAATAATTTTGTTATACAATCGAATATAATTATATGTGGGATGCTCAAACTGGTGGATAAAATATCAAATTTATTTTCAGATTTATATTTAACTGAATTTTTAAATACTTTAGCAAACTCATTTCTTTTATAGAAACAGAAAATACAGATGTCAAGCCATGTCAAAAATTGTATATTATGCTGTGTGTGTAACACGATTTCTGCAGGTAGATTGAAATCTGCTGTATTTCATGTTTCTATTACCTGTGCTTTTTGATTGTGTCTCAGACTAAATCGTGTATTACAGTGTAGGTGTAATACACGATTTCTAGTAGATGAAATCCGTTATTCTCTGTTCCTATTGCCTGTGCTTTTCATTGTGTCTAACTCCCTAAAGCCCCTAAATAATACGGAATGCTGGAAACTTATGCTTAATTAAGAAGCGAATGAAGCGAGAAGATCACTTTTAATGGAACAAAATATTCGAACTGAATGGGCGCACAAAAACGCTTTCCATGATGAAAATCGTAATCAGAATGAAAGTCGATTAACCAGTTGAACAAATGAATCCGCCGTATTACATGCATGTTCACGCGACTCATATTAGAAACGTACAAGTCACTCGACTTCGCGTCCGCGAATTTCCCTCGCTGCAACGCGACACTCCTCGAATGCGAATTTGGTGAAACTTGTTCTGATTTTCATGCACGAAATTTATGTAATACCTACGCAGAATTCGACTCACGTCCGCGAATCGCATTTGAATGTACTAGCTCCATAAATATGCGAAAAAGAAGCGTGACGCGAAACAGGAACACCTTGCCTTCCATTCAAAAAATCTATCGTGGAGAAATAAAAAATAGAATTTTTTTCTTTTTCTTTCTTTATAACAACCCTTACCTCTAGGTAAAAATCCTATTCGCGTTGCTTGTACTTTTTGCTCTACTACTCTACATCTTTCAGCTCTATAAAGCTTCCAGCTCTATAAAGCTAGCAGGACTAAATCAGCAGAATTAAATGAGACTTATCGGAATTTTTAGTACTCATTTTGTACTAAACTGTACCATTAATGATAATTTTGTACCGCGTGCCATTTCGAAAAAAATCGTGGCAATGCTAGCTTAATATTAAGCTGGGTCAATTCAAAATAAAAGAAAAGAAGAAAATAATATCAGAAATAAATACAATTGAATTTATACTATTTTGTACTGTCAAGAATAATTGTATATTATGTATATCATTTCCAAGAAAAACAGTAGCGCTGCTAATTTAAGATTTAAGTTGGCAGGATCATAAAAAAAACAACACAAGGGCAAAAATTAACACAATTGAGTTTGTACTATTTACTAATTTACTATTTACTAATTTATACTATTGAAAATAAGTTAATATTTTACATGTTTTCTCCTTAAATTTATTATTTCTTTATTATTTAAAATTCCTTTATTATTTACCTCATTAGATTGTAAGTAATTATAATACTTATAATCTTTGAGGTATTCCACGTCAAACCGGGCACCTTTGAAACATTGTCATTTTATTTTATTTTTTTTTAATTTGCTAACATATTCTACAGATAAAAATATGAGATTTCATGTTTCGCGAAAAAAATGACAAAAATCGATTTTTGTGTTAATTTTATTAACGCATGTAAGTTGCAAAAATTCATGAAAAAATATCGCTCATGCGAACATTTAAATTATTATATCGTCGAAACCCATTAGTCGTACAAAAAAATGCAAGAAATCGATTTTAAAGATCGTAAATTCCATGGATGGATTATTTTTAATTTATCATTTTCATATAAATAAATCATTTTCCATTTGTTTACAATTTTTATCAATATTTTTCATTGACTCACCAATTAAAAAATTTTGTAAAAATATCATATTCCCATTGCAATCCTGAAAATTTCAAAATGGAACTCGAATTTTTTAATTGTACAGTCCATTCGAATTTCACTTTGAAATTTTCCTGCCAGCTTAAATCTTAAATTAGCAGCGCCACTGTTTTCTTGGAAATGACACAATATAGAATTGTTTTTGGTAGTAAAAAATAGTACAAATTCAATCGTATTGATTTCTGATATTATTTTTCTTCTTTTCTTTTATTTTGAATTGATCCTGCCAGCTTAATGTTAAGCTAGCATCGCCATGTTTTTTCCGAAATAGCACGTACAAAATTATCATTAATAATACAATTTAATACAAAATGAGTACTAAAAATTCCGATAAGTCCGATTTGATTCTATTGATTTGATCCTGCTAATTTTATAGAACTTTCTCTCTTTTCAAAGTCCAAATATACATATCTATATCTGTTTCAAATTCAAAAATTTTTTTAAATTTTAAGCAACATGAACAAATCTCTCTTATAATATAATAGAAATGTGCCAAAAGTCACGTCATGATGGTTGCTAATTGGCTGCAATAAAAATCGTATTCTATTCTTGTTTTACGTCTAATAAAAATAGAATGATATAATAATCAACTCTTTTGTCTTTATCGTTCATTAGGCATAAAACAAGGAAATAAATTTCACTCCAGTTAATCAGCAAATATCATGATCATGTAATTCTTGCCGCATCTCTGTCAAATTATAAGGTCTTTATTTTTTCGGAAATGGCTTTCTTCAGTCCCCTCGAATCTGATTTAGCTAGTAAATAAGTGATGCACACATCATAGGCACACTCATAAAAAATAGGACATAACGCAATGTCGAAATCGAGAGAAAGAAAGAGGAAGAGAGAAACGAAAGCAATAAAGTCTGTTACTATCGTCATGCATATTTGCGGTGAAGAGCTTGCAACATCCTGTCATCAATCTCTTCATCGAGGTCCTTGTGGTCGACGTGAAAACACACGTGGTATTATTTTTTTTTTTAACAGTCCAACCGCGAAGTTCAATGTATTTGTCCTGTTTGCGCCTCGCGCAAAACGAGATTCGAGAGAAGGTCTTTCATTTGAATGAGTGACGTGTGTGTGTCACGAAACGAAACGAACGCTAAGCATATTGCGTTGATCGTCGATTAAATTATTCTCACTTTCTTTTTTCCGTTATCAAGTGATCGATTCGTCAGCGCGCGTACCATGGATATTGATTGGCAAGGTGAACTCGAAACTCCTCTTTTGAAAATGTTAGTTAAATGTTAGTTAAATAAATAATGAGACGAGCATGCACAGTTTCCAAGTTTATTAGTCTCTATTCTTTTTTTAGCTCAACTTCTTATATGGTCCATCTTTTCTCTTTTTTTCATGTTAAGGAAAAGAGAATGAAGGATGAATCATAGACAAAAAAAAACAAAGTTCAGTTAAAAAGAATAGTCTCATGCAAAGAATGATTTTGCGTCTAAAAATTTAACTACAAAAATTTAGCTGAAAATAATTTTATTTGACTATCAAAATAACTGCAACCAATTTAAGCGTCTTCCATAATTATTTTGATGATCCAAACAAAATTATTAGATCTGCATTTAATTAAATTTTTAGATATTTCAGCAAAATCATCCTTTCCGTCTATTATAATGGTATATTATATATTAAGAAACTACATGTGTGTAAAAATAAATTATTTACTTATTCGTTCGATTATCTATAATTTCTATAAGATTGACGATAGGTATAAAGCGACATGCAATCTTTACTGAAAATAAACATTTCCTCGTCAAAAACACAGAATAATCTCTGTGTTTATAAAAATATTCTTGATGTTTAGCAATTTCTATTAATGACATAATAGTGTAATCACAATCATGCTAATATCTTTACTTCGGACAAATCGGTATGTAACAAGAATCGCGAGGAAAAGATGGAATTACCCGCCGTGATAATAAAGGACCGCCCGTCATGCAGTCATTAATAAAGATTATGATAAAGCGGAAGTAATGTGCGGGTTTAGCCGCGTACGCGTTTCGTTTGCTAGCACGTACTTGCTCATGATGTATGTAATATGTCACGCGATCCGCCCACGTGAATAGTATAAGATAAATTATTTTTGCACTTATCGATTCGTAATTGTTACGCGCTCACACACAACAATTACTAATCCCCCCATCCATTGAATGTAATTAAAATATCCAGTTTGAGAATAAGAGAATTACGACGCATTTTATATTTAATATAATTACAATAAATTATTATGAGTTTATTTATTAATTTAATAAATCGTATCACACATATACGTTAAAAA